GTTCATGCCGGGGGGATATGCTGATTTGCAGCATAGTCTATGTTGCAGAAGGGGCAGGGCCAAAATAAGTGGCTGTGGCAGGCTGCCTTTTTTGCCTTTGGTCCTGCCCTGCATTGGAACATGCCCCCAACAAAAGCTTCTCCAAATAATTTGGCCACTGAGTTGAGCAAAGCTCAGGCCCCTTGATCGGGGGTGGGGGGGGGCTTCCTTCAATGCAGTTCACACTGTTAACAGCAATCCATAGTTGCTTGATTCTTTAAATCAGTACTTTTTAACAATGAGTTCAAAAAGTAAAATATGAAGTTGTTATTCAGTTATTCAGTCGTGTCTGACTATAAGTGATCCCATGGGCCAAATCTCACCACTTTTTGATCCAGTGCCACTTCTTCCAGCTGATTTATGCTCTGGCCCGTATTTTATTTGGTGGAATCTAACCACTGCATTCTTTGGCAACCTGGTTTTCTCTTGCCGCTAAGCATTCCAAGCAGAATATCTTTTTCTAATAAGCATGATCGCATGACATGGCCAAAGTGCGTCCCTGAGTCTCAGTTTCGTTATGTTACCAACTAGGCATGCATCTGGTTTAACACGTTCTTGAACATGAAGCAGTGCAGCAACTAAGAATAGGAACCAGGTCTGTCTATTCATTTATTAGATTTATATCCCACCTTTTTCCTTTTAAAGAACTCAAAGCAGCTTACAACATTCTGTGCCTTCTGCTCTCAGTTTTATTCCCACAACAAAATCCCTGAGGTCGCTTGACCCAAAGTCACCCAGAGGGGTGAGCAGGGACTAGAACCCAGATTGCTTGAGCCCCAGTCCTGCATTCTTAACCACGACACCATGCTGGCTCCCAGTGTGGTCAGTACTTACTAGAAGGGGCTGTCCAGGTGTTCAGGCAGGTGTCTATTCTGGTCCTAATTGGAGATGCCGGGGATTGAACCAGGAACCTTCTGCGCGCAAAGCATGTGTTGTACCACTGTACAACTTCTCCTTATAGGAAGCTGCCTCATACTATGTCAGACCATTTGCCCAGCTAGCCCAGTGTTACATGTCCTTTGCCATGCCTTCCATAGCAGCCATTTTGTGCTAGTACTCAGGATAGTTTCTGAAACTGTGAGAGATGCCCACAGCCTGCCCCTGGCCTAGCTTGTCTTTGGCCTGGCTAGTTTTACTTCACATCCAGGGTAGAAGTGTGGAAAGTGCTTTCACAACAAGAAGAGGGGATTACAGATAACAGTCAGAAGCGAGAAAAGCATCTTTGCTGTATTTACAGGTCTCCTGGCAAGCATTAAGCGGAACATGCCACTTAACACCATTAACGGTTTGAAGGCTAATCATAATTTTTGGAGATTGTTATTTTGCAATGAGCATCAGCTATAGATTTTGTTACACATGGACACACACAGTTAGACACAGATAACTGTTTTAGTTCAGTTTAGATGTCCTCAATAAATAGATGTGTTTCCAGGCAAAACTCCACAAAGTATAAATACTGCAAGAGTTTTAGTAATACTGCAGCAGATGCTTCTATTATGCCTTTTCTTTTTTACATGTTCTGCCTTTGAATGCCGCCTTGCGAAAGCACAGCTGACTGAAAGAAACAGAAGCTTTTGCCACTGATTTCCACCTATCACTTTTTTAAAAACAAGCTATAAAAAGTGAGGAAAGAACTATGTGTTTACGGCACCAACTGTTACAGTGCAACAGGTCTTAGGCCAATTAACTCAGAAGTAAATCTTGTCTTTATTTCATTATTATTTGATTAGAATGAGTTATATACTGCCTTTCAGGATGCAAATCCTATCAAGGAAGCCAACATATAACACAAAATAAACATTAATAAACAATATCAATACATTATAATCAATCAGTTATCCAACTCTTTCCCAAAGGGCAGTGGTGGAAGATGGCCCAGGGGAAAGGAAGAATCCAGCTGGAACAGGGGTGTGTCTGCCATCTGGTGTTTTGCTCATCTATCTTCCCCTCTCTCTCCCCTAAAATTCTTCCCACAGAAGAGTAGACAGTAGAAGGTCCTGTGGAATTGGCCTTCTAGGGAAGGTTAGGTACGTCTTCTTTCCTTGTCTTTCTCCTTCCTGTATCCACATAAAGGATTCTCAGAATAGCAGAGCAATGGAAATGGACCCCCTCTGCTTGCAGACTTCAACATTCCAAGCCTATGTCAACCCATGACCTGTAGCATTTTCTAAATAAATATTCCATTAGGAGCACTTAAGCTTCTGTATTATACATACTGCATAAGGGCAAGTCCACCTGAGAACAGTTCACCATCAGAAGCAGACGCTTCAAAAGTACTTTATGTAAGAAAGAGTGTCTGCTTATGTGTATGGGATTTATGGAGTTTTGTATATTGGCTAATGCTGTTTTGAACCTCCTACCCCATTTCCTGGAGAAACCTGTTGCGAGTTCCTCCAGCCACTTAGTCTCAAGAAACAGGTTTTCCTTCGAAGGACTGAGAAGAATGCTTACTCCCAGTGTCTCTGGATTTGGTGAGCAGTTTTGGACTGTGTGTCATCAACTTGACTGAACTCTCACAAAAAGGTTGCTATAGGATTGCCCATTTGTAAAATGGCTGCCATGAGCAATCAGTATTTCCCAGAATGCAAATGGAGAATTAAAAAAAGTAACCTGCCTAAGTACCTAAGGCAAAGACAGAGGTGGTGCCTGAACTTCAAAACAGAAACCCACTCCTTTGAACCCTTCTTTTTGATTCTATGCTGTGAGCCGCCCCGAGGCTTCGGCAAGGGGCAGCATAGAAATGTTTTAATAAATAAAAATAAAAATAAATAAGATAGCTCTGGGGGACACGGGGCCTAGCAGGTACCACAAACCCCACACTGAAGATCTCAGGCTTGCTGAACCTTTTGTTGAGCACATCTATTTTGCATAAGACAGTCACACAGCAGCATGTGATTCGTTGTACCTAAAAATATAAAAACATGGAAACATGGTTGAGCACAGTCTGGATCAAGCTGGCATCATATGATGGGATCTCCAGCAGTGTATTTGTGATGCAGAAGAGATGCCTGCAGAAATTTTCATGGTATCATAATTCATAATTCCCAAAGACTGCCAGGTAGATGACAAAGAGGTCGTCGTATGCGGTTCACAAAATGCCACGCAGCACTGGGGATCAGGTGCACTGACTATGCATATTTGAGGCAGTTCCCCACCAAATAAATAAATAACAATACGGACGTTCCTCTCAGTCATAGTGGCAAACCCTGGATTAACAGGAGAGCGAGAACTTCATGAACCCTACCTCCAGCATGAAAATTTGCTCTCTGGAAAGTTGTGTGGGAGTGGATGGGAAGGGATGCAACCCATGCTTTGTATGGGGTAGGTGCCAGGTTTGTTCCCCAGCATCTCCAGGTAGGGCTGGAAAGACTGCCCATCCGAAATGCTGGAGAGTTGCTACTAATCACTTCCTACATTACAGAGACAGATAGACGACGGATGGTCTGATTCGATTTAAGGCTAAGAATAACCTGATCTGAGGCATCATGGAAGGTTTGCTGATTGCTACTACATTCATTCATTCATTCATTCGTGTAGCATTATTCCCAGTCTCCAAAGGGTTTTGGCCAGCTTTGGATAATGGCTATGTGATTTTGAGGCGGGCAGCACCATGTGCTGCTCCCTCACCACCACCACCTCCCAAGCAGCAAAATATCTTAGGCCAGTTTTGGGGACATGCAAAAATGTTGTTTCCATTCATCTAACATCAGAACTTATCCCATTCATGCTTACAAACACATTTTGCAAACCAAACTCACAGATTCCTGGGCTTTCATTGTTTACAAAATGCATACTTCAGAAAAGGAAAAAAGGAAAAATGCACATTTTTACTATTTAATCAATAAAAAGAAAATATGGATTCGGGTGCACACTTTTTAAAAATGTGCATGCAAATGCATAGTTTTCCCTTTCACATGAGGGGGCAGGACCAACAGTGACCCACAAATCAGCATAGCCAATTGTGGCTGCGCCTGCCCTGAGCAGCAGCAGGATGGGACCAGGCAAGGGGCAAAGATTTCTTGCCATGATGCTCTCTTAGTTACCTCTAGCCTTGCCATGTCTTCTGGGTTTAGAAGACACCGCAAGCCCAGGGGTGCTTGCTAAGCCCCACAAGAAACCATGGTTTATCAAGGTGACTCTAACTTATTAGAAACAAACCTATGGTTTGTTGTTGCATTGTGAACTGTGTGCTGTTCACTATGGACTATCATCTCAGCTGAGTTCAGTCACCCCAACAACCCTCAGCTCAACCCCGAGCCTGGGTTATCATGCTGAAGCTGGTCAACAGGATTCACTTCTGCATAGCCCTGTGCGGGATTGCACTGTTAACATTTCAACATTAACATACGCAGCCTCCTCCCAAGTCTTGATCCATGATGAAGGAATTATAGTACAGTGTCTCTGGGGAAATGCTTTGGACAGCAGGAATTCTGCTGAAAACACTACCCTTGCTCTTCTGGTGAAGAAAATGAGCACGGGAAAAGTCTTTCCAGTCCTAGACAGCATTGCCTATGGTGAGGGATGATGGGAGCTGTAGGCCAAAACTGGAGAGTTCAGTCTGATTCCCTGCATGTTTACTCAGAAGTCATTCCCGATTAGTTATATTTTTTCCAAAAGAAAGGGCATGAACCTAAAGCAGCTCTTTGTTCCAGCCCAGATTACACAACCAGATCCTGGATAGAGTTCCACTCATGTAAAGGTGGAATCGTGTAATACTTGGATGAGAAAGCCCCTTTATTTATTTATTTGTTTGTTTGTTTGTTTGTTTGTTTCAGTTAAACTTAGATATGCCCACAAGTGCGGTATGAACCCCTTGGCTTTAGTAAGCTTAGGCACAGCGCACTTGTCGTTCTACGAACATCTTCCATTTTCCTTCAAAGCAGCCCCGCAGAGAGAAGCGCCGTGAACTCTGGATTCCGTACGCTGACGTCACGTCCAGCCCTTCAAGATGGCGGCATCCGTAGAGAGTAAGGCGCATGTGCGGAGTAAGCTTTTCGTTCCCTCCAGCAACTGTTTCCCGTCCAGATGTTCCCCACGGACTTAGCCGGACCGCTAAGAAAGGAGGACGCTTCCTATCCGCCGAGAGCTGCTTGAAATGGCGTGGTGAGCTCTCGAGGAGTCCTTCTGGAAAGTGCGCTTTGCTTCGTCTACGGGAAGCACATTTTTAAGAAATCAAGAGATTTGGGTTGCGGGGACCAAAAGTAAGCTGTACCTACGTTGTCTGTGCGAAAGACCGTTTTCTTCCTTCCTTCGTCATTTGGCTTTGCTCCCCTGTATATAGTTCAAAGTTTTATGAAGGGGTGTCCACCTGAAATGGTGCATTTGAGCAGGAAAGCCAAGTCTCATTGTGAGTTCTCATGGGACCCGAGGGCAACCTCCCATAACCTGAGGTGCACTGAGTCTGCAAGTCCCAGCGGCGGCAGCGCCCAGACAGCCCGGGTTACATACATCCAGTGTGACCTCTCACTGCCCTCATCTGGCTGTGATAAAGCATTCAAGCTGGCGGGTGCTGGGAGTATTGCATAGGATTGCAT